ATTTCAGATATTCAGTATCATAAAAACATGTTTTTACTTAAAATACAGTTTCAGTAAACTTCAATGACCTCAATGACCCAAAACGCTATGGTTCTGCACCTGAATGCTGAGCGGGTCTCAGAGAGAGCATGGGAAAAACTGTGATCCAGATCCAGACAGTGTGTTAGAGGAGAGCTGAGGTGGGCTGTTTCTCTCAGCTTAGCGCTAGGAAAGCGATGTAATACTTTAATTACAGTCCTTAATCACTCACTCTAAAGCCCTCATATTTCTCACCTCCCAGACATGTAGCAGCTCGTTTACAGAAACACCGCAGCTCAGCACATACACAGCCACACAAAGTCAGACATCCTATACTTTTAAACATGGATCTTGATCACAAGTGCACAGGGAGTAGAAGAGAACATGTCAGAGTCTCATCCATCATCACACAAACATCGTTTCGCAGAGTGTGCTAGTATGACCTAAAACAACTACCATACATGGAAAAGCATTTGAACCAAAAAAAAAAAAACTATTTTGTCTAAGATGTACATCAGTTGTCTCTCATTTTAACGTTAGGTCTGAGGCGGTGGGAAATGCAACATTCGACTTATGTAACGTTGCAAATACTCTTTATTTGATTGTCATGTTTATGAATGGAGTCTAGTTATGCAAAATGGAATAATGAAATGACCATTGTATGATTATAATATATTGAAAGAAGCCTGTATTATACATTTCACATTATTATAAAAAAAAGTGATCTTAACTCATATATATAATATAACCTACATATGTCACATCATATGACATTGTTTTTTGGCTTTTGGTTTGTGCATTTAAATTCACAGAATTTCTACAAAGTATGTTGTCTCCTTTTTTTCTCACATCCACATCGTGTGCATATTTCTCTCATCTAATAACTTTTTCTGACATCTGGACTCTATCATCAGAGGTTTATGAAAATATAAACAGATAATTCAATTTAATGGGAATGTTATGGTTCAATATAATGGGAATGTTGGTAAAATTTATATTTCAGGTTTTGACCAGAACTACACATCCATAATGCTTTGTCCGCAGTGAAAAAGTGAAATTAGATGGTGTCACACACGACGTGTAAAAAATACAAATTGTACTGATTAATTCCCTCATTTAGTTAAATTGTGGCCATGATTTAACTAAAAGAAAGAAACAAATTATATATATATATATATATCCACAATATCTTTGTTTTTCCTCCTTGCTTGTCATTTGCAGGGCTTCATAAGATCAAGAAAACAAAGAGACACAAAGTAATGCCCATGCTTTGTGCTCCATCTTTGTTTAGTGCTTGACAGTTGCAGATGCCATTCACAGCCACATTTGTGCTTGTGGGGGGTGTAAATGTGTCAGCTTCAAACTTTCTGTGCATATGTACTCAACCCCCCCACACACACACACTAAAAAAAACTACCCAGCCTTATGGTTGTCCAGAAACAAGTACTTCATATCTATAGCCTCTGATAGGACTCTGTCCTTAATATATTCCACGAATAAAGTTCCTCTGTGCTGACAAATAAAGATGCTTTTCAGGCAGGCAAACAGAGATGAGCGCACAGGGCTGGTGATTGCCTGATGTTCCAGGTGTTAAGTAAGCACAGAGCGTCAGACCCCGACTAATTAACAACGTCATATTTGGCAATAGGGTACAGTGCTCAGCATAAAAAGCCGCCTTGCGTGGTGTCTGAGTAAATATGGCAACTAAATAAGATGCTAAATAAGCTCCTGCCCCCACTAAACTCTAATTATTACTGTGGCTTCATCTGAGGCAGTAAAGACCACTGTGATTGGTGTGTTGACAACATGTGACTAATTGTATAATTGTGTTTGTATATATAATATAATAATATAATATGATAATAATGTGTACATATAGAATTTTGAAGTTCAGAAAATAGTCTTATTTAATTTGTGCTCTCATTCTGTTTCTCTGAACCTGAAGCTGACTGTGGCCTCCACCCAAAGCCACACCTCTCCATCTCCTCCTGGGTGGCACTGTCCTGCTTACTGAGGGAATTTCTTAATGGGAGTATTTTTCCCCCCTCCCCTTAATCTCTAAACAAGCACTTGGGTCTGTCCTACTTTTACTCAGACAGTTCTAATGAAGAGAGGACAAAAGGTGGCGGGCAACCCCTTTTAATTCATTTCACTTCAGTGTGATTAATGTCATCACAACTTGTTCTATACGTGTGGTCTTTGTAGATTAAAGACTGTAAAAATCATTAAGATATCAATAACACAAATAATTTTATACTTGGAGAGATGTATGTAATCAAATTTGGTACTTTAACACACAAGCATAAAGTAAGAGCTGTTCTGGTACACACAGAATAATAGTAGTATTGTTTCTGTGGCGCTGGGTAATAAGACAGAAACCTCAGCTTTGTTATCTGTGCATGTTTCTGGTTTCTTGTACTGTATTGTCCCAGAAACGCAATCTAGAAATACACCTGAGCTCTGCACAGGACTGAGAGTATGATGATGCTGATGTTACTTAACCAGAGAGTCTCAGAGATTTGAAAATGTACACTGTGCAACTCTGTCTGTGTTAACGTCAGGAATATTTAGTCATAAAGGTTACAGAACGCATATGCATGTTTGCTTTTTTTTGTTTTGAACTACCAAGCTCTTGTGAAAAGCATGGGTAAGAACACATTTTTATAATTTCACTTAAAAGAAAAAGACAAAGTTGTCACTATTCTATATAAAATAATTCACAAAAATCTAAACTCGAAAATGTTTACAGTCAGTGCCCGTATGCTTCACGGCTGTCTAATTGAAAATTAATAAAACTGAAAAATTATATTTTGGTGTGATGTATATATTGCCTGCTGAGGTGTTTTCTTAACAAAGTTTAATATTTAAATATAGTTTGTAGAATGTGTTCCACATTTGCATTTTGTTGCTTTTTTTCCTTAATCATTTTAATGCTTGAATTAAATTAATGCCAACTTTGTCAAGCATAGGTTTGTAAAGTCATATAAAAGTGCAACTGTTGGCTTTAGTTTAGATCTAATGTGCACAGTTGACATTTACAGGCCATAGATTCAGGTGTTGTTTGAGAGGGAAAAAAGCATAGAGTTAACAAAATTTTGAGATTCAGATTTGGAATTCTTTATTTTCTTTAAAAAATAATATTTTGCAGAAACTGCGGAAAAATAATAAATGTAGTGACTTTTATCTGTGTGTAAAGATCATCACCTATGAAATATCATTTAAAAATCAAGTGAGTTAGTGGCACCATGACATTTGATAAGTCACTTATTACCTTACCTTGAAGGTAAAAGTTTCATGTTAACCGTTCATAGTAGCTTACCAGACCACATATTTCTCTCCTTAAAGGACACTGTAAGATACATAACTTAATATAAATAGTTAAAAACAAGTGTATATAACAAAACAACTGCATTTACAAAAAATACACAATAGAAAGCAAAATAGGAAAGACAGAACATATTTCAATATTGGACAATACTGAATCTTGGCAATCATGAATACCAAGACAATCCCTCCATCAAACTACTGTTAGAAACTGTTATAAATTCAAACTAAAAAGATAAATCTATTTAAATTAGTGCATGATCAAAAAAACTGACACATAATATGTAAATCTGTTAAAATAAGACATCAAAATCCAATGCATAAGTCAAAAGATTTTTCACAGAATAAAATGTGTTTTGACCAGTGTTTTACACCAGATTTCACTCATTTGGTGGCTGTCAGTGCGTAAATGTCGCGTTTAATTGAATGTTGCTTATAAGGCCTGTCGCATTTCAGTAGCCCATACACAGTGTTGAAATAATAATTCTTTTTTTTTCTTATTAGAAAACATACGGGTCATATGTATTCACGACAGATTTATAACTCCGTTCCGTCTCGAGGGTAAATGAGACTGTTCACACTGAAGCTGTTGTAGAAGTGTCCGTTGAACTGCGCGCTCTGGCCGCCAGTAAAAGAGTTATAGTACATTCCACGGTTCATGTGCACGCTGTCCTGCAGCTCACTCGCTCCACCTGCGTCAGGTGCTGAGCTGGCGTGGTACGGGCTCAAGGCGCTGATATTTCGGCTTGAAAGTTCGTTTACAAGCCCCAGAGAGCCCTGTCTGCTAGTCGGAGCTGAGGACGAGCTTAAGGCTGACATACTGTTGAAGAAATTGTTGAAGCACGGAGCGCTCGCAAGGCCTGCCGGAGACGCGCCCTTGTGGCTGTCACTGGCCGCGTCAGTGTCAGGAGATGCGGGTCCGGTGAGGTGAGGGCTGTCGGTGGGTTTGATCCTTTCTATTTTTTCTTCAAAAATCTTACAATCTTTTTTCTTTTACAATTTTACAATCACTGGCCAGGTGGGACTTTTAATTAAAAATAACTAGAAGTTAAAGTCATTTGTGATCTCAAGTCATTTATTTATGAACTGTACTTGTATATTTTCTAAAATAACTTAATAGATCTGTACAAAAATGAGCGTCAAGTCATTGACCCTATGCAAAGGTGCACGAGCATCACTCACCTGGGTCATCTTCGTCCCGCGGCACTTTTTTAAAGCAGTCATTCAGGGAAAGGTTGTGCCTGATGGAGTTCTGCCATCCCGCTTTACTCTTCTTATAAAACGGGAAATTATCCGCCACATATTGATATATCTGGCTCAAAGTTAACTTCTTCTCGTGCGCGTTCTGTATTGCCATGGCTATCAGAGCCGAGTACGAGTAAGGCGGGGGCAATATTTCAATATTGGACAATACTGAATCTTGGCAATCATGAATACCAAGACAATCCCTCCATCAAACTACTGTTAGAAACTGTTATAAATTCAAACTAAAAAGATAAATCTATTTAAATTAGTGCATGATCAAAAAAACTGACACATAATATGTAAATCTGTTAAAATAAGACATCAAAATCCAATGCATAAGTCAAAAGATTTTTCACAGAATAAAATGTGTTTTGACCAGTGTTTTACACCAGATTTCACTCATTTGGTGGCTGTCAGTGCGTAAATGTCGCGTTTAATTGAATGTTGCTTATAAGGCCTGTCGCATTTCAGTAGCCCATACACAGTGTTGAAATAATAATTCTTTTTTTTTCTTATTAGAAAACATACGGGTCATATGTATTCACGACAGATTTATAACTCCGTTCCGTCTCGAGGGTAAATGAGACTGTTCACACTGAAGCTGTTGTAGAAGTGTCCGTTGAACTGCGCGCTCTGGCCGCCAGTAAAAGAGTTATAGTACATTCCACGGTTCATGTGCACGCTGTCCTGCAGCTCACTCGCTCCACCTGCGTCAGGTGCTGAGCTGGCGTGGTACGGGCTCAAGGCGCTGATATTTCGGCTTGAAAGTTCGTTTACAAGCCCCAGAGAGCCCTGTCTGCTAGTCGGAGCTGAGGACGAGCTTAAGGCTGACATACTGTTGAAGAAATTGTTGAAGCACGGAGCGCTCGCAAGGCCTGCCGGAGACGCGCCCTTGTGGCTGTCACTGGCCGCGTCAGTGTCAGGAGATGCGGGTCCGGTGAGGTGAGGGCTGTCGGTGGGTTTGATCCCTGCGAGCTGTCGATCCTCCTCCGGTTTTGTGTTGTTGGCAACACCTGTGCTGGAATCAGACCTGCGCTTCCTTTTTCTACGAAAGTTGCCGTTGTCAAACATCTTTTCACAGTTGGGGTCTAGAGTCCAGTAGTTTCCTTTTCCTTCAAACAATACGGATAGCTGATATTAGAAACCAAAGCTAGCAACTGTTAAAGCAAAAGTTATTTACAGTGAAATTCGTTGAATTTAAGAACTCTAAACGAAATTGTCAGTTTTGTGAATTGCATTATTTGGTCAATAAAAAAGATAAATCTGAGATAAATAAGAATGAGAAATCTGTATATGCATGTTTATGTAATAGTATATTTTTGAAAAAGTTTATAGGCTACCATTTTTTGTTTGTATCATAAATTTCGATTTTACGATTTAATTACTTAAAATTATCAAGTGTAGAAACCATCAAAAACAAATAAAATGCTTCACCTGCACATTCACCAAATACACGACTTAATTAGCATTATCTTTAAAGTAATATTTAAAAAATAGATACTTTTTTTTGTAATATCACTTTTTTATATAGCTACTAATTATGAATATAAATAAGTTTTCTTAAGGTTATTCCACTTGGCCAAAATGTGCCTTGTAATACGAATTACAAAATAATATAGGCCTAGGCTATATATATATATACCATGGCTATCAGAGCTGAGTACGAGTAAGGCGGGCGCACGAGTTTTAAAAGTTCCTCTTGGCTCGCAATAGAGAGCCAGCCCAGGTCCGGACCGGCAAACCCGGAGGAGTTGGTTAGATATTGCCTCTGAGAGCTGTAAGCCGGAGAGATGAATGAGGGGCTGTTGTTGCCATGTATGTAAGACGAAGACGAGTTGACACTGGGTCCACTGAGCCACAGGTATGGGTTTGGGGTCGCGTAGTCCCCCAGGCCGTAGCCCGCTGGTCTCTGCGCCGCAGGTAGACTCTGTTGGTGGTAAACACTGAAGTTGTCACAATACACGGCCATATCCGGTGTCTCGTGCGCGCTTTTTGGCAGTTGCTGGAGAGGGTTGACAGCAGCGTTACGATTGTTATGGATCTGCGCGTCGATGGTGTTCATATCTCCAGTGCCTATAAGGCAAATGTTTGTCTCTGGAGCCCACGCTCTCACAGTAACGCACAATACAATCTCTGACTAATCAGGTTAAAAGCAACAAGAGTCTGCTTTTTGTGAGAGAAGTTTGGTCATATATACGCTCAAGTGGGGCAAATACGGTGTCTAATCTGGTATTCTTGTCTCCTTCAGCCAATAGATCACAAGATCCTCGAAGTAGGCGTGGCCTATAGACCGGGATTGCAGGGAGATGATTAAAGTCATTCATAAACAGCGGGCTTGTTAAAATGAAGAACACCGAATGTAGGCTAATGTAGTAGGAATTCACAAAATAGTTACCTATCCATGTATTCGAAAATAATTCTGGAGAGTAAAAACGGTTGTTTGTTTTATATTGTGACCAGAACGTTTTAAAGCCTTTCCCTGAGTCTGTTCCGTCTTCCTGAAATCTCAGTTGATTAGAAAAACCATCATCATAAAAACGCATTTGAACAATTTGTTATTCTAACTGAATATAATAATGTATGCTATTTACAGCCACTAAAAAATTGTAATGATCTTTAGGCTACAGAAATAGATACAAAATAAAAATAAAAATGTTAATGACCATCACCGAATTTAATTAGATGCAGGTAGCCTATATTTCCGAAACGGTTATTTATATTTAATTGTATATAAATATGCATAATTATTTTACCAATTTGTTTAAGTTGTTATATGTCTGAATTTACAATGTGTCAAATTTCCAGGTATAGCCTACTTCATCGTTTCACTAAAAATTTCTCTAAAAAAATCCGTTACAAAAAATTCGTTTCATTAATTAAATATTATTTCATGATTTTAAGATGAACTATGATGTGATGCGTAGTAATGATATTATTTGACAGTATATGTGACATTTGTAGAAAACAAAATTGTAACTAAAACGGTTGCTTACAGAATTCTACAACATATAGTTTGTGCTTTGCAACCAGTATTTTATTTAGTAATCAGTTCCCATTTTTAAATTCGTCTTTATGTTTTGGAGCAGCAAAATGAGCATCATTATCACGAAATGATGAGCGAAATGTAGAAACCTCTAACTGTTTAAATTCTCACACTTCTCGGTTTCTGTTCCAACACTGTAGCCTACATGTTATAGGCTAAGTCTCTTTTCTTTTCTTTTCTTAATATGCAGCAACAAAAAATAATTCAGCAATATCCAAAACTGCTAAACATTTTAACTAAATTCCACTTGAGGACTATTGTACATCGTTACAAACGAGCTGCTGTTCATCCTTCTGAATATCATGAATAAACGAATCATCATTCGGTCGTGACCACTATTTACAGTGGCAGGTATTTATTATAGTTTGATCTTTCTTTTCTTTCTTTTTTTTAAAGAAGTAAAAATATTAAGCAAACTTCAACTGAAGCTAAAGTAAAAAAGGATAAAAAAAAAAACAGCGTTCTTTTTGCTTTGTCTTTTATAAAATGTCCCGTTATTATTTCAGTGCGAAAAATCGCATGACAGTATTTCACCTCAGTAAAAGCGAGTGACGCCCCTGTGTAAACGTTCAGTTAGCAATTGTTTTCCAGGGGCCAGTTGCATAAACATATCCACTATGTTAAGATTGTCTTAAGAACTAGTTTGACCAAGTAGCAGTTAGCCCAGAGGTAATCAGTCTTAAAAAAAAAAAAGGATCTTAATAGGCTATTTCATTGTCCCATACCAGGTCTACATAAAATAAAAATGTAACGAACAAGTAACTCAGTTGGTCTTTGGTCTTGCTTTCTTTAGTTTTTTTTTTTTCCTGTGGGGGGAAAATGCTGCCTGCATGTGTTACTGCGCCACCTAGTGTTGAAAGTGGATAAGTGACGCACAGATCGTATTTGGATGTTTCATTGTTGCAGTCAGTCACCAGGTACACTTGCATCATGACATTACTGATCAATGGAAAATGGAATCTACTGAACTGATCCAGTGTTATTGAACTATTTCCCCCCAAGATACCTCTAAATCCTGACCTAAACAAACCGGCGTTCCAACCACACCACAAGGTTCTCTGTTTCCCCAGGAATACGGTGTGGTATTCTGAGACATGTAGGCTTTGAAATTAGTTCTGTTTTTATGTCTACTACCTATTTCCATATATATGTATAT